GCTTTTAAACAAATAAAACACCTGTATTCCAAGCAAGAGAAATAGCTTCCTTCTAGAATAATCAGAAAGTCAATATACAGGAGAAAACAGCCGAACTTGGGTTGAAAAGATACTTAAGTTTCGTAAAGGGATGGTGGTGGCTCGGTGGTAGAATTGTTGCCTTCCTTCTGCTAGGGAGACCCAGGTTCTGTGCCTGGTCTGTGCACCTCGGTGGAGGCTGGTGTGGGGCTGTGACATGGAACAGGTGTCAGCCCAGACGAAGACTAGGCTAGGAAGAAAGACCCGGTGATCTGCTTCTGAAAGTCAGCTGATGAGAAAGTGCCTACTACATGCCACGGAGGAAAACAGGTCTTAGTCCAACCACGCACAGCCCACCCGCAAGAACCATCTGCTTCAGAGGACCAAAATGAGTGCTGGCACCTCTGTTGCCACCACGCCCTCTCTTGAACTGCCGCCCCACCCCATGTTCTGCCATCCCCCGATGTTCTGGTTGCTGTGTCTAGGTTGTGCCCAACTCATAGCAGCTGCTAGCTGTTAGGATGCACGAAGACGTTTTCCTCCATGGCATGTAGTAGGCACTTTTCACTTTTGTTGCTACAGGGAATAAATGAAATATAGGAGTATGGAGTAGAGAGAGAATCCTAGTGGAACTCAGAAGACCAGACATGAGCCTTGTCCCCAAATCGCTGGACCACTGCTCGGCTGATCTTGCTCAGTGTCCACAGGGAAGTGAGTTAGCTGGTCCCTACATGCTCACGATGCCGAGTTACACTATGATGCCTTTTCCCTGACAGGAGTGGCTATGAATGCAAAACTCATCATAGACTCTCAGGAACAAAGGGTGTGCCTTCTTCCTGGAGGGGCAGACTACTGACCTAAGGCTAATGGTTTGAGACACTGGGAAGAAAACCCTGGGCGTCTACTTCCAAAACATGACCTCTATGAGCACAACTTGACTCGGAAATGTGGCGTTGCCATGAACCAGGATCCACTTGACAGCAACGGGTTAATTAAACTTAGGAGTTGCCAGGGGAGAAGCTGAGGGACAAATCCCGGTTGCGATCACCTGGGTCAATGGAGAATGCAGGTAAATCTCTGAGATGGAAGCCTGGCCTGAGACAGGGTGGACATTGCTGCTCTCTGTCAGCTGGAAAGTCTTAGAAGGCTCACCTGGAGAGCCACCAGGGAAGGATGCTTCCTGGGAGCAGGGGCTCAGATAGAATGCGTGGGGCCACAGGAATAGCAGCAGATAGAAGGCTCCAGGTCCTCTTCCAACCCCATGCCGATGCCCTGCAGCAGCAGCCCTGATCCAGCCATAGGTTGCTGGTACTGAGCAGGAAGCACACGCTTTGCCCAGTGCCTTACCTGTAGCCAATGGTCACTGGCAGGGCAGGATGGGTGTGCCTCCAACACAGTTCCTTGGATGCTTTGCGCTCTTTTCAGCCAACTTTTCCTTAACCCTTGGGTTCCACGGTGAACTCTATGAGGGTCAGTGTCGAAGAAGAGTCTTCACTATTCCCAAAGGAGAGTTTGCTGGCTGGATGCTCCTCTGCTGGTTCAGATTGGGTCAGATGCCACCAAGACACTCCCTAAGCAGATTCCAGGGGCCTGGGCTTGCTGGTACCCTCCATGGGTATGAGAAGGCTGTGCTGTGCGCGAGGGAACCATCTGAGTGGTGCTGCTACCAAAGTCACAGGCAGGAGGCGCAGTCTTCTGGGGGAGTTTTCCTTGGACCTGCTGTTCTGAGTTAGTGCCATCTGCCAGGTCAGGGGCCAGATAAGCTCATTCCCCTCAGTGCAGTGAACTGTCAGAAAAGCTAGCCCAAGCCTCACTCGGGTAGAGCCTCTCAGATGCAGGCTTAGTCAGAGTAGCTCCCCAGACATCTGCTCTCCAAACCTTGGCGCCTCCATCTCAGGTGGAGCACAGGGGCAGGGGCAGGAAAAGAATGACAGCCCAAGCAGTTATGGGGTTAGGGCTGGGCAGATGTGGAGGACATCCCTCCACAGAGTAGGCATGACCTGTTATTGCTTCTGCTATCTTGGCAGGTAAGCCAGTCTGGGGCCAATCTCAGGTGCCTGTGATTAGGAGACTCCTGGTCTCAGGGGTCTCACCTGGACCACAAGAAGAGCAGTCCAGCCATGGTGGAAAAGTGCTTCACGCCTTGTAGAAGAGCCATGCTCTAGTTACCAGGTATGGACAAAGAAGAGGAAAAGGAACATTCCTTTGCAATCACTCCATGGAAAGAATTAGGGAAAATTGCATTTGTCTGGACCTGCAGACAAAGTCTCCCTTAAGCTTCCTATGCTCAAAAATCCACCTCCGAAAGAAGTTCACCACTTAAGCCTCTTGCTCTGGAACGTAGGACCAAAACACCACCGCTTAAACCTGGAAGCAAAAATGTCCCTCATTTCCCTGTGCGCCCAACACTGAACAACCAGACTGCTTCAGAGAGATTGCCAGGCGTTTGAGATGCACCCCAGCTACCACAAGGTGGATGAGTTTCAGAAAAGAATTATTTGTGCCATTTGGGAGTCTGTCCACGTGCACTCATAATAAAAGACGCCGACGGTCAGACCTGAAGTCCAACTCCCAGAAGGTAAGCCTGGGGCCCAACACTAGGTATGAGTAGGAGTGGCATTTCCCAATGGGGCTGCCAACAGACAGCCCAGCATCAATTAATAACACCTTGGCTTTCCTTCATCAAGACGAGGCTCGGCATCCCAGACGAGCCCATGGCAAGACAGGCAAGGTCTGAACCTTGGTGGTAGATTTCTCCGTGGAGGCATACAGGAGGGTTGGGGGCAGCCTCAGTCCCTGGTTGATGAGCAACAATACTCCCAGGCTCCCAAGAGGGTCGAGGTTAGGAGTGAGGGACTGTACAGCCTGGGGTGCTTGCAGCACCAGGAGCCCCACCTGGGTCTGTTCGGTCCTTGTTTTGTTGATATCTATAGATAGATATATTTACAGTACGCATTTATGTGCTGTCTGTCAGGCTGACATTTCTGAGAACATACTTTTACCATCATCAGCAGTTCACAGAGCTGGAAGAGACAGGCAAAGTGCTTCCACTCCACAAATAAGGCATTCCTTTGATGTGTATGTTTTTCATTCTCTGGCACATACCTTTCGGAGGTGTGCCCCAAACAGTGTCCCTAAGCCGCAGGTGCAAACACCTCAGCAGAGGACTGGCACATGGCTGGGCAGGTGCCTGGAGTGTACGTGTGCTTCCTCAGTGGACAGCTTTGCTTCATCCAAACGCCCCAACCTGTTCTCCTCAGCCATCCATTGTGTCCCATCAATCACGACGTACCTCGTTCCTGGGGGTGGGTTAGCACATGCTGCTCTGGGCTTGTTCTCGTGTTCTCTGCAGGTAAACCAGAAGCTCCCTCGGCCCTGGGTCCTGATGTTGCCTGAGTCGGGATTCCCCTGGCATGGGAAACTCATGGAGGGCGGGGGGCGGTGGTTACACGGTACAATACTTGCCTTCCCTGAAGGAGACCGAGGTGCAATACCCCCTACCAATGCACCTATGTGGAGCCACGACCTGTCTGTCGGTGGAGGCTCGTGTGCTGCTCTGAGGCTGCACAGGTTTCAGTGGGGACTTCCAGGCTAAGATGGACGAGGAAGAAAGGCCTGCCAAAAATCAGTCCATGAAAACCCTGGGCTCATAATGGTCCGATCTGCTGCCCGTCATGGAAACAGAGCAGGACAGGGCAGCGTTTCCTTCCTTCCTGCATGGGGTCATCCTGAGTTAGCACTGACCCCCGAGGCAGCTAAAAACAACAACAATGTCCAATCAAGACAGTTGGAGGCAGAGGCACGTTCCTCACCGCCTCGCTCCCCTCAGGGTCCTGCCCAACCATGGGCTTGCCAACAAGGCCGCAGACCAACACGCTGCCTCTTCCCAGCCATAAGGAGCCCTGGTACGCTGTGGGCTAGGCACTGAGCAGCTAATCGCCAGATCCAGATCTGCCAGCCGTTACACGGGAGAGGGATGAGGCTGTGTGATCCAGAAAAGACACAGGTCCTGAAACCCTATCGAGGGTTTCTGTGAGTCGGAATGAGTGGGCTGATGGCAGTGGGCTGGGGGTGGGGGTGGAGGGTGTTGGTTCCTGTCAGCATTCTGTGATACTCATGGCGGAGTCCCACATGACAGAGTCCACCAAGCCCTTCAAGTGGTTCCCTGGGCACTGTGCCATCCCTGCCCGTCTCGTGATTTTCTGTAGTCTAGTCTAAACGTCTTGAACATGGGAGAAAACCTTCCATGTCTGCCTTGGACATTCCACACAGGCTAAAACAAAACAAAAAAGTAACGTGCAAGAGGGGCTTTAAAAGATTAGTAGAAAATTGAATTAAGAGACAATGGGATTGTTCCGCCGACGCTCTAAAGTCCCTGTGCATTTTGCAAAGCCCTGCCCCTGCCCTTGAGCGTCTCTGTCTGCTGATGTGGGGAGGGGTCTGGCTGGATGTCTTTTTTGAGAACGTTGGCCCCCTTCCCTGAGCGTCGCTGCATCATGCAGCCCCAAAGCATTTGTATCCGACTGGTGGCAACTACTTGGCCTGAGGTCCCTCCAGTGCTCTGTTATTATTATTAGTACTTTAATGTTATTTAAGCAGGTTGACTGTATTGAACAGAGTAGACTTGGTGTTTTAATAGCTTGAAAAATGATATCCAGATATTCAACACACTCACGAAAAAGCCCTTCCCTCTGACTCCCAGCCTGCCATGGTGGGCTAAACCTGGCCCCGCCCACCTGAACAGCTGCCCTGGGTTCTCTGGGGGGCTATGTTGGTAGTCCGCCTGGGTGCTCCAACTGGCCCCAAAGCCCAGGCAGCCAGACCATCTGGGCTGCATCAAGCTGGGTACTGCCCAGGCAGGCGCCCTGGCAGCCCCAGAGGTTGTGAGCTGCTCGGCTTGGATCCAGCAGGCGCTCCCCTGCCAGAGGACTCCAGGCCCCTCTCTGTCTCCTACCAGAGCCTGGATGCCACAGTGGCACAGTCGCTTCCAAGTTTGGCTTCTCAGGAAGGGGACCAAGTTGTGCCCCAGGAGACACTTTCCAGCAGCTGCCGGACTAGGAACAAATAAAGGCAGGGAATGGCTCCAACAAGAGCCTCTCCCCAACCCCTTTCAGCCGAGCTGCAGTGTCCAGACCATCCACGCCCACCCCCGGGGGCCTGGCATTTATTTGGAGACATTTATCCATTCCAGGATGCTGTGGGGAGCCTTTAAAGTCATGGCAACCTGGCTTTCCCTATCACCGCCCCACCTTTCCAGGTCTGCTTGGACCAATAAAGGGACAAAGATCGTCACCAGAGGGAGGGCTAAGGAAGAAGTTTGAAACTGCCTTCAAACCAAATTGCCAAAAAAAGAGAAAGAACGTTTTCTCAAAAAAAAAAAAAAAAGTTTTCTCTGAAACCCTAATCCCCTGCAAACCATCACCATGTTTATTGCCAATGCCATTTTCCTAGAGCAATAGACACTGTTAAAAGGCAGAAAAGGAGCCCCGGTGGCAGGGTGGGTACCTCGATGGGCAGCTCACCTCAAGTTCGGATGTTCAAAACCACCAGCCGCCCCACAGGAGAAAGATGAGGCTGTCTACTCCCATACAGATGTACAGCCTCAGAAACCTCCTGGGTTTCTGTCCCACGGGGATGCTCGGGGTTGGAATTGAATCGACTGGGTGGCAGTGAGATTGGAGTTTTTGGGAATATGCAGAAAGTATCACAAGATTGCATGCAATGAGAAACATTCTTCCCGCCACCTCATCTTTCTCTCCCTCAGATTTCTTTCTTCATCGACAAGGAAAAAAGCCCGTGTCACCCAAGCATCTGACCCAGGGAGCATCGTTTCCAAGCTCAAGGGGTTGGGGAGCGCCTCTGTCCCTGGTGGCACAAACTGGTCAAACACTGGACAGCTAGCTGAAAGGCTGGAAGTTCCAGCCCACCCAGAGGCACCTCAAGAAAGGTTTGGCTGTCTGAGTCAGAAAGGTCACAGGCTCAAAAGCCCTATGGGGCAGCTTCACTCTGCACACAGAGGGTCACCGGGGTCAGGACGCACAGCGGCAGCTGCCTCCACCCCCATGGGGTTCGAGTAGAACCCAAGCACCAGCATTCACGAATCGCCTTTGAAGCCTTCGGCCTGCATGGAAAACTAGGGCATGTATTAATTCCCCTTCTGTCTGAGCTGTCCCTGGTCCCACTCTTAGCTGAGGTCCTTCTCTCTGGTGAGCTCAGGAACCAGGAGACAGTGCTAAGGCTAAGGCACACAGGTGTCCCAGCCCAGAGGGTGGTGAGCCAGCCCTACCCCCGTACCTGCCCTGTCCAGCTCTGTCACTCCGCAAGCCACCAACACGAAAGTTATACAGGTGTGTCAGGATTTGGGGAGTCATATGGCCCCACAGAAGACATGCAAATGAAGCACCAAGAGGCCTCTGGCCCCCAGCTTACTAGTTAAAGAGCCCCTGATGGCCTATTTTCCCACCAGAGTCCAGCTCCTGCCAGGTTATCAAACCACCCCAAGCGTCTCCAGCATCCTCTCATCCTTTCTCCCTCACCTCCAATACCAATTATTCAAGCCGAATCGTTTTGCCAACTCATGGGTCTCCTCCCAGAAGAGGGTTTGGTGTACAACTTTCCGTACCTAAGGAAGCCTTCCAGGTGCTGTTGGGAATAGGTGGATGTATCCCAGCCCTGTGCTGGGGAAAACTAGCCCTGTGCTAGGGAAGGGGCTAGGGCCAGGGTACTGATCCAATGCAGAAGCTGGCCCTGGCAGTACCAGAAACAGGGGCCGTAGATAAGCATTCCTAAGGCTAGGAAAATCTTAGCTTTGATTTCACACCGTGTCAAGCCTGGGGTCACGCAGAGCACAGCTCCAGGGAACCCAAGGGGTAGTCTGCACTCAGTCTCGACCTTGGAGTGGGCAGAGACCAGTCAGGAGGTGTGCTGATGGGAAACAGAACCCAGTCACCAAGGTCTGGGGGCAGGCCAAGGCTCCAGGCCAGGTCTGAGGATCGACAGAAGCCCAGTCCCTGCCCCCTTGGGGCAAAGGAGACTTTGGTGGTGGGCAGAACAAGGAAGTTAAAGGTCAGGAGTGGAGGTCATGGGCACTTGTGAACAAGGGGAAAGCCCCAGCCTCAGCCCAGTGTGCACGTCCAGTGTCCCTCACCCCAAAGACCCAGGTAGTTGCCTCATTTACCAGAGAGACACTAGGCCATTGAGTGGGTGTAGAGACATGACCTGGTTCTTAGTCCCGCTGGGCGGTGGCGTGAATGGGCTGGGCCAGGGCTATTTCTGTCCTGAACTGGCAGAGCTAGTTACGCTGGGCTGGGAAAGGCAGGGGAGAGGAAACGGCAGGGGTGGTGGCAATCTTCACCCACAATTATTAGAACACTATTCTTAGAATGTTATTAATAGGATGCTGTGATGATGATTACTGGGCGCTATTATTAACCTAGCACCTTCACAGCCCCCTGGCAATGTACCCGGCTGACGTGGTGGGGACCCCACCAGAGCAGGAGTTGTGGGGGGATGTCTCTGTTCTCATCTTGGCTTAACCAGCACCAGCTGTAGGTCCTTGGACACAGCTTTTTAGGAACTGGGTGGGCCTTGGTTTCCCCATCTGTGAAATCAAGGGATTGAGTGAAATTGGCTCTTCTCTTACAGGATGAGCTTCAGACTGGCAGCCTCGGCACTCCCCACTCCCACACCCACCCTGGGGAGTTTATGAGAGATGCAGACTCCCAGGCTCTCCCCCCATCTTCCGGAATCAGAGACTCGGAGAGTGGGGCCCGGCAGTCTGTGCTGGAGGTCCCGCTGATGCATAGCAACATTTGAGAAATACTGGACAAGTGCTTTCTCAGCCTCTTCCTGCTCACGTGCACTTATATCGACTAGGAGAAGGGTGTGAGTGAGTGTGTGTGCATGTGTGCATGTACCTTTCTCTTTAGGTCCCACAGTCTCTCTGTTACACACACACACACACACACACACACCAGCAACCTCATGCCCCATAGGCCAGTAAGCGACCAGTCTTCCCTTATAGCCCAGAGCCCCATGAGCAGGTCATCACTTCAGGTCTCAGAGAGACAGCCCACATCCCGTTCCTCCTCAGCCTGTCGGGAAAAGCAGAGCCTGCCTCTGACCAGAAATACATGGGCGTTCTGGTCAGTGGGTGGCAAATCATGCAATCTATTCTCGTCTCTTCTCCCTCCTGCCCAATTAGCCAAAGGTAAGATAGGAAGATTTACTCTTTGCCATGACCAAGGTCACAGCCGGAATTTACAACAGAGCCAGCTTTCAGCCTGGCTCTCCTGAGGCTGCGGCAGCCGATAGGCTCAGAGGCAGTCGGATCTGCCTGGTAGCAGCGATGTAATAGGCAGAGCGGTGTCGGGAGGAGAACCTAACAAGAAAGCCGGCTGTGCCTTCTAGTTAAAAAAAAAAAGAATTAGACATCTATTTATAACCTGTCTCGCTCCACAAAGGATTTGAGGTGGCTGCCTTGCTGTTGGAAAATCTGGCGTGCCAATGCTTGGCATCTGAGCCCCTGGACTTCCTGGCCTGGAGAAAAGGGTCAAGCCTCTCTTGTTCACACAGCTTCTCTGGAGGATACAGTGGCCCTCCAGGGAGGCTCTTGAAGATCCATCTTCCTGTTCAGCCCCTCCCTCCTGACCGCCTCCACAGACAAAGTGTGGATGTAGAGATCCTGGTTTGTTTTTAACTGCATAAACCAACTGCTGACTTCCCATTCCCATTCCGATTAAACAAACAGGATCCCCTTGCTCAGAGTTCAGCGGAAGAGAGGTCACCAGTGTCGGGCCGGCCTGTAAATAAAGGAGATTCCTCAAGGAGAATAAATCAAACGAGAGGCATATGTAGACACACACGTAGTCAGACGTACACCATATTTAAATTCACCCATTCTCCTCTGGTCTTCTGATTCATTTCCCAACTTGCATGTGTGTGAGGCAATGGAAAATACCATGGCTTAGGTAAGGTGCACTTAATCCTCAACATGACATCTCTGCTTTTTAACACTTTAAAGGGAGATTTTTCTAAAGAAAATGCTTTGAAAATGATGATGGCAACAAATGTACAAATGTGCTTGACACAATGGATGGATGGATGGATTGTGATAAGAGTTGTACAAGCCCCCAATAAGATGATTTTTTAAAAGATATTTTTCATAAGAATTGCCTAAAGGAATACATAGCTTGATTTCTTGCTTCAATGAATATTGATTTTGGATTACACAAAAAAGAGGAAAAATTTGACAAAATAAATAAAATAAAGGGGATCCTTGGCCTTTCCTCTGTGAGTTTCCTTATGGGAAACACTTCTACTGACCAAATCTTAGTTGGATCCATACTGATTTTATTTGGGTGGAGGGTGGGGGTGGGTTTAAATGGCTTAATACATGTGAAACACATAGAAGAGAGCCAGTCCACAGGTGTTAACATCTGTGGAGAAAACCACACAGCAGTGGTCATGACCATGTGCACGCTCTGTGGGTGGAGCTGGACTGTCCCCTTGGGAAACCAATCAACCACTTTGCACCTGCTTCCCTAACCGGGCTTCAGTGTTTGTTTTCACCTGCCTCCTGGGCCAAGGACAGTGTCCAACTGTGAAGTCATTCCTAGACCTTTCCCCACCCCCAAATAAAGATCGCCAGCTCTTTGATACATCTCCCCAAAGGAGATCCATGATCAAGGTTTACCACAAACCCCAAACCAAACCAAGCCATTCTAGCTCATGGCGCCCTCATGTGTTACAGAGTCCACGGCTTCATGGAGTTTTCTTGGCGTGATCGGAACAGAATTAGATCACCAGGCCTTTCCTTCGAAGTACCACTGGAGGGTTTAAACCATCAACCTCTGGTTAGCAGACAACCGCGAACTATTTGTCCCCCCCAGGGGCTGTCCTTGAGCCCCCAGCTACTAAAATCAAGCCCTGAATGTTGCTATCGAGCCAGTTCTGAAAGACGGGCAATCTGTTTCTTACAGGACAATAAGCAAGAAAACCCCATGGAGCAGTCTCCCTGGCACACGGGGTGGCCATGAAAACCAGCAGACGCCACCACACGTCATTCTCAACATTGGCTGAGCTGGCCCTGCCTGGTGGCCTTACTCTGGTTCCCAGGAAGCCTTGATGCCTGAACTTCAGGTATGCCCTTGTCTCTGACATCATCTTTTAGGGTGGCCCTACTATGCCCCACGCGCAACACTCATTGCTCTGCACATGGAGTCTGATCTCTCCTTGCTATTTACCTGGGGCATTGCCTGCTAGGATGCCCTCTGGGAGCTTGACAAGCCATTTAAAATTTCAAAGGAAAGAATCAAGAGCAAGGGCTAGACAAGATACTAATGGAGGAGAAATGAGACTTCCCTGATCAGATACAAGCTTTTAGTGAGTCCATAGACATTAGAGCTGTGTCATTGGCTTGGGGATATATTACTAATAGATCAGGGGGATAAAGAGAAGACCCAGAGACAGAGTCACATGTTCATATGATATGTTACATGTAAATATATAACAGAGAAGGCACTGAAGAGGAGCAGGTGGTGGAGAGTGGTGCACTAAGTGGTCCTGGAAAATAGATCTCCACTCATGTGGGAAATAAGGAAAACAGATCCCTGCTCTATAGAAAATTAATCTCAAATAGAACAAAACTTAAATGTTAAATGCATATATATATATATTTTTAAATCATTAAAAGTAGACTACATTATAATTGTGTGCTCAGGTGTGTTAGTCTAGGTACATTAGAGAAACAAATTCACAGAGACTCCAATGTATAAGGGAGAGTTTTATATAAAAGATGTGTGCCCAAGCCCACAAGTCCAACATTAGCCCATATGTCCGACACCAATCCATAAAGTCCTCCTCCATCTCACAAAACACACGCAATGAAACCGACTGCAGGAGGAAAGCCAAATCAGTGAACATGTAAGCATCTCAGCGCTGGCAGGGGTCTCCACACAGCTGCTCCAGCACGCAGGGCTGCATTGGGGCAGGTCCATGCGGCTTCTCTTCAGGGATGTCTTACAGGAAGTGAGCCTTGCCAGCTGAAGCAGGGAACTGGCTAAGGCAGCTGCACCCTGATCTGATCATCAGAAAACAAGAGACCAGAGAACTAGAAAGGTGAGGCTCA